GCACACATGTTTTTTTTACATATAAATATATATTATATAATGTAATTAGTAATATAATTATTACATAAATTTCAGAGAGTGCGCTGCTTTTGTGAACTTTGCCAGGGTTTGGTTGAAAATTTCCGTTACTTCTAAACATCATAATTAGTAAAAAATAATCAAACGTTTTGCGTGTGGCAACACTCACTGGCAAGTGATGACGTATAAATCTGAGACTTGGTAATTCACTGCTGGCCGTATGAGAAAGCTCAAGATCGCTCAGCGAGCTATGGAGATGGCTATGATCGGCGTTTCTCTGCGTGATAAACTTACAAATGAGGATATCTGCAGTAGAACTAGAGTAACCGACATAGCACAACGGATTAGTATACTGAAACGGCAATGGGCTGGCAGGTAGGCGAAGTGTAGGCCTGCCACCACTAGTTGGAGTGATGATCGGGTAAGACGTGCATGAAGTCGATGTATGCAGGTGGCTCAGGACTGTGTTTTGTGGCATTCCTTGAGGGAGGCCTATGTTCAGCAGTGAAAGGCTGTAATGATGATGTATCAAAAGATTCGCGATTGCGTACACTTGTGACGACATAACTAGTTACCAATATTTATTTTTATTACTTTTATATGAAACACTTCCGTCTAGTGAAATTTATGTTTATTACACATATGAAACACTTACAGCCTTACTCTCATTGATTATTTATTGCTCACTTAAATTACGTATTAATTATCTCTATATCTGTCTCTTTCTATTTTCATTTAGCGAGAAGAGAGAGAAAAACTTTAAGTATTTATTAAATTGACGTCGATTTTTATGATTAAGGCTACATTATTTACGATTGTTTATTTATTTTATTTTCAGATCAAGTGTAACTTAAAACATATTATAAGATCTACAACTATAGATTCTTATTAATCTATACAAATAAAATTTAATAGTATATTACAAAGTTTTAGGTACATTCAAAATTACAACGTTGTCATCCGAAGGGCTCTTGTCTCTATAAATGTTCCCTCGGTTTTAGAGCCTTGTGGAATATTTAGAGATGATGGCAAGAGACCCGACGGTATGACATTGGTCCCTTGGGAGAGAGGTAAAGCCCTAGTGTGGGATGCTACTTGCGTAGACACTCTGGCGGCCTCTCATCTCAGGGGTACCTCGTCTAAAGCCGGGGCCGCATCCGAGGCAGCTGAACTGAGTAAGTGGCGCAAATATGAGTCTCTGAGAGATGACTACATATTTGTCCCATTTGCTGTAGAGACTATCGGTCCGTGGGGTCCACGTGCGGTGAAGTTCCTAAAGGAACTCCATCCGCGGCTGGTTGTTGCTGCTGGTGATAGAGGGCTGGTTCTTTCCTCGCTCAAAGGCTAAGTATAGCCATTCAGCGGGGAAACGCAGCCAGCGTTCTTGGCACGATACCGCGGGGAGTAGGACTATATGATAATTAAGTTTCCAGTTTTAGTTTTTTTTTTATTATCATAGTTTTATGTTGATTAATTACATATTAAAAAAAAATTAAATTACCTACAAATAAATGAAATTGAAGTGTCTGTTTGTAATATCAAAATAGCTTTCTACTAAATACATATGAAAGTGTATACGGTACTTAAAACAAAAACACTATTTTTAAAATTTTTGTCTGTCTGTCTGTCCGTCTTTCTGTCTGTCTGTCTGTTTGTTCCGGCTAATTTCCGAAGTGGCTGGACCGATTTTAACGGGACTTTCACTGGCAGATAGCTGATATTGTAAGGAGTAACTTACTAGCAAAAAAATTAAAACCATTAATTGAACGCGGGCGAAGTCGCGTGTAGCAGCTAGTGTAATATAAAATGGCGGACACTTTCAACGGAGGCTAGCCATCTATGCGCAGGAGAGGATTACAGTGCATGAGTGTGTGCATAAGCACAAGTGCACTATTCCCTCATTCTCATAGTCCGATGGGACGGTAATTCAACGCGATCAGATGGAGAGAGAAAGAAAAACGGCCTTAGCTACATTTTGAAGCACGATGTTGAAAACATCGCCAACTACTTAACTTCGCGCTGTTACTGAGAATTTTTTGAGAACAAAATCGAAATTAGTGATTTTGATCGAACATTTTTTATTCGAACCCGAAACCACATCACCAGTCGCTCTTACAACCACTAGACCTATGAGCCAGTCAATATCAAGTATATAACATAGCGATAATGTAAGTATTGCTCATAAGTTAATTATAATCTACACATAAAAATAAAATTAAAGTGCCTTTTTTATAAAATTAGGGTGACAAACGAGCACAGTCCACCTGACGGTAAGTGGTTGCTGTGGCCCATAGACATCTTCATCTATCCTCGATTACGAATCAAAATGCAGATGCGTTGTCACCCGTGAGGATCAAGATGGAATGCCTCTTTTCCAGTAAAAAGGGTCTCCGGTTCTCTACACTAACCTACAAAACACAGCAGTGTAACCTGCTATTTTACGCTGGTATTCTGTGAGAGCGTGGTCCTTCCCCGGTCGAGCCGACCCATTCGTGCTACAACTATACTATTAATATAGCTGCAGCATGGCTCTAACGTACGTAATATTGAAGAAGAAAAAAACTGGCTTCTATTAAACTCTTTATTGTTATATGCATGCTATAAAGATAAATAGCCATATTTTAAACTTTTGTCTGTCTGTCTGTCCGGGCTATTCGGAATGGCTGAATCGATTGTGATGGAATTTTACGAAATTTTAGAAAGAGATTTTGAAGTGCAGGTTTTAGGGTATACATATTTTATTCGAAAAACTGGAATATTAAAAAAAATATATTATGGTCTAGTATGGATAGTCAAAGACCATTATAATATATTGTAATGGTCTTTGACTATCTTAAAGTAATAGATCCTATCCAGGCTAAGCCGGGGCGGGTCACTAGTCGTATAATAAATACATGGTTTAACGTGCATTGTCAAAAACTGGTGACCTTAAGATATAATATGGTCTTACACGGCAAAGCAGCAAAAGTTTTAATGTACCCATTTCAAATGTCACAATAACAAAATAAAAAAGAGAATGTATAACAGAAAAATATGTCGAAAGTTCTAATTTTCGAAAGTCCGTTTGCGTAAAGTCCAAAATGTTGTTATAGTATTAAAGCCGTATAATATTTCTTTCTCGTGCATAATGAATAATTACACAGTTATAATTATTAATTATGACTGTTATCTGGCTGCGTACGATAATCTTAGTTCATTTTCATACCATGGCCGCCATAATAGGCGTTTTAGAATATGTTTGGAACATCTTTACTTTTGAATTTTGATTTAATTGAATTACGCTGTAGTTATATTACAGTTGCAGCACGAATGGGTCGGCTCGACTATGATAGGACCACGCTCTAACAGAATACCACCGTGAAATAGCAGCTTATTGCTGCTGTGTTTCGTATGGTGAGTGTAGAGAACCGGAGACTTTTTACTGAAATAGAGGCATTTCATCTTAGTTCTCACAGGTGACAACGCATCTGCATTTTGATTCTTTATTGAGGAGAGATGTGGATATCTATGGGTCACAGCAACCACTTACCGGTGGACTGTGTTTGATGACTGACTCGTTTGTTACCCTATCCTATTAAAAAAACACACCTGCTTTTTAACTGACAACGCATTTGCTTTTTAACTGACTTCAAAAAAAGAAGGTACTCAATTCGACTGTATTTTTTAAGTGTGTTTCTTCAGAACTTTTTCTCGATGAACCGATTTCGATGATTCTTTATTTCAACGCTGGTGCTTCTCATTTGGTCCCATATAAATTTAACACATTCACGGACAGTACGCCCATTTTCGTGACATTCTGAATTTATATTACGACACAACGCCTATTTACGATAAAATATTTTTTTCCTTATTTGCCACTACGTAAATAAGCGCGGTATTCGTTTACGGTTAATATGAAGATCTACTTTTACTGTCATAACCCAAACAGTATCAAGATTGTACTGTCACAACATAAAATTTTATGATAGTAAATGTGTGCTATCTACACATACATGCAAATTTTGCTATAGTACCCATGTTGTGGCACCACGAATGTAGCCGTTGCGTTCGCGTCGTGAGTCAAACGAACCAGTCGCGTAGTGTCACCGGGAGGAGAGGACACGCTCGCTTGCGTCAAATCGTTCGTCGTCGTTCGTTGAATACTTACGCGTTTTTCCTGGTAAGTAATTTAGTGTTATAATATGTTATTGTCTGTATAAAGATAACCGAATAGTAACCAGTCTTTCAAAAATGGTTAATACTTATTGTATCAAAAAACCGTTAGCGTAAAAAGCACGATAAATTTAAAAATATAATGGAATAAACTTCATATTATTTTGTAGGTAAGTGTCGATTTTTTCTTTTGTTGTGCGTCTAATTCTCTTTCAATTGTCTTCAGATGGCCTCAAAAAGAAACAAATTGAGCAGAGGCAAGCCAAAATCTTTGTTTCGAGATGATGAATCTAACCACCAATGGTGAATATGGTTCAGACCACAATTACGAGCCCGCTGATGAAGATGAAGATAGCAGCAGTGACTACAGTGAAATTTTCGATGTTCATAGAAGTCGCTTTGAACGGAATAGACAAAGAATTGGGTCTGAAAGCGAGAAGTCGTATCATGGTTCTGCTGGCGATCAAAGCGATAATGGCGAGCAGTTAGACCAGAATTCTGTTAATGAAAGAAACTTTGATGAAACCGAACGTGATTCCGACATAAGCGATTGTAGTATTTTCGATCACCATCAAATTCAAGTAGCAGGGAATGAGAAAGAAAGCAGCGTTCAAAGGTATGAAAGTCAAGAGAACAATGCTGTTAGAAATCATAAAGATAACAATGATATTCACTTACAACAAAATTATGAGCTATCGGAATATAGAAATCAACAAGTCGAAGAAGAAATAAGAATGAGTCTGGAGACTAATGAGGTGATTGGTGTTCAATTTCCATAAATTCAGGAGCCTTATCAGGATAGAAGAGGAGAAGAAAAACTTACAGCTAGAATGAGAGAGGAGCTGAATGAGGTGGTTCAAGATCAATCTCCACAAAATCAAGCACAATCTCAGGCAAATTTAAATGAGGCTGGACCGAGCAGAAGAAGAAGTTCAGTAAATACAGTACGTCGAGGGACTCCTCCACCAAATGACACAATTTGGGAAGATACTGTCTCAAATATTGCTTCTATTGACTTTAGATCTCCAGAGAAAGGCCCGACATTTGAAGTTCATGAAAATACCACATGCGAGGAAGTATTTGACCATTTATTTACCACAGAGATGATAGAGTATTTGGTTGAACGAACAAATTCCTATGGAGCTGCTCTTACCAAAACAAATAGGCCACATACACGTCATGCACGCAATGCTGCCTTTCGAGTAACAAATCCTGAAGAGATGAAAAAATTTTTAGGTCTTACTTTATTAAATGGTCACATTCGTGTTCCACAACAAAGGAAACTTTTTACATATGACGACCCCTTGTATTTTCACCCTGTCTTTAACTATACAATGTCTTGCAGAAGGTATGAGCAAATTTTAAGATGTCTGTATGTAGCTGATTTGGGTGCGAAAGGGTCTGGAAAAATTGAAGGTTTTATAAACACAGTGACTCAAAATTTTCGAAATGTATTCAATCCAGGTCAAGACTTGTCTCTTGACGAGTCTTTGCTACTTTATAGAGGACGATTAATATTTCGTCAGTACATAAAATCAAAAAAAGCTAGGTATGGCATAAAGTTTTACGTTTTAACTACAGCGGATGGATACGTTTTAAATATTATAATGTATAGCGGAGCAGAAAATATTGAAGCCAATGAAAGGAGGACTGACAAACTGGTACTGCGTTTAATGCGCCCATATCTTTTAAAAGGGCATAACTTATTTATGGACAATTACTACAATTCAGTGACCCTTTCTGAAAAATTACTTGATTTGAAAACACACACCAACGGCACGCTGCGTAAGACAAGAAAAGACAATCCTAAAGAAATTGTACAAAAGAAACTCCAAAAAGGCCAGCATGTGTGGGCTAGGAAAGGAAAAGTCTATGTAAGTGCCTGGAAAGATAAAAGAGACGTCTATATGGTTACCACCATGGATCATCCAGCGCTCATTGAAGTCACAAACTGATTTGGAAAAAAGAAAACTAAACCCATAGAAGTGAACAGATATAACAAATCCATGTCCGGTGTTGATCGCTTGGATCAGATGATAAGTTATTATTCATCACCAAGAAAAACTATAAGGTGGTATAAAAAGGTCCTATTTCATATTATGGACACCACAGTTTGGAATTCCTTTTACATTTATAAAAATTTTGTGAAAAAAGATAAGAAGTATGAGTATGTGACATACAGAGAAGAGTTAATCAGGAAATTGATCGGCCTGAAAGAAGAAAAAGGAAAAGATTTAATTCGAAATTCCAACAAGAATGACAGCAGGCGGAATGTGCTTCAAACTGAATCACAGCTTCATGAAAATATTGAACGCAGTAAGGTAGAAACGCAGGACAACTTTTCTCAGCCAAATTCAGGAAACCATGGACATTGGCCGACTCGCATGATGCCATCTGCAAATTCTAAGAAGAAGTACGCATTTTTGACATGTAAGCAATGTTCGAAACAAAAGGTACGACGTGACACAAGTTACTTCTGTAAAGGTTGCAATAATTCTCCAGCACTTTGTCCTTCATGTTTCGAAGATTGGCATAAAGATTTGTAAACTGTCAAGTGTAATTTTATAAATACATAGATTATCATAATATCAAGGATGACATTTTAAATATTCCTTATTTAAAATGTCATCCTTGATATTATGATAATCTAGATTTTATAAAATATTGTGATACTACATTTTTGAAAAACAAAAAACTGTTTGTTATGCTTAACTTAGTTAGCTTTTTAGCTTATTAAAAAAAGGAGACCTAGAAAAATAATAATTATATGTTAATCGAGAGAAAAGACGTATCTGATAATTATTTTGTTTTGTTAATTATTAACCAAGTTTAAGTTAAGAAAATATTTTTGTTTAAATATAAGACTGTTATTTTTTTTTAAGTTTGGTATAAAAATATGATTTTCCATAGTTTTGATTTATTCAATAAAACATTTTTTTTTTTGTTTCACAAAGTTTTGATTATTATCATCATGATTCCTATGGTAGGGACGTAAACTGACGTACTGTCATACTACACTTGTTTATACACATAATCTTGATAGCAACATGGCAGTACGCCTATTCGCTATGCGTACAGAGACTTACTGTCATATGCACACGATGATATCAATCACGATGCGACAACACGACTATTTCGTGGCACGTACCGAAGCGTACTGTCATATGAACGCCATAATTTTAATTACGATGTGACAGCACGACTATTTCGTGCCACGTAAATAAGCGTACTGTCATTAGAAGACCATAATTTAAATTACGACGTGGCAGCACGACTATTTCGTGCCACGTACATAAGCGTACTGTCATTAGAAGACCATAATTTAAATTACGACGTGGCAGCACGACTATTTCGTGCCACGTACATAAGCGTACTGTCATTAGAAGACTATAACTTTGACTACGATATGACAGCACGATTATTTCGGGCCACGTACAGAAGCGTACTGTCTCACCACAATTGTACAAATATATTGCTATGTGTCAGGAAGTATATAGGCGTGGTAGTAATTTGTATGGAATTTTTTAGTGTCATATTTCAAACTTGGTGCAGTGTCCAGTGTCCGTGAAAGTGTTAATCAAAATCTGACTAGTAGTTTTTGAGCTATCCTTCATAAATAATAATGCGTATTTAATTGATTTCGACTACATTGATAATGTTCTCATTTTATTTGTATTGAAGTCAGTCGTACAAAATTTTGAATTGTACCACTTGTTGATTCTTAATTGAGGGTAGATGTTGATGTCTATGGGCCACAACATTAACTTAAGGTGAAAGTTCCAGAGTGGCCCGCTAAATTCAAATTTTCTAACGTTTTTTAGAATTTGCAGGTCAGGGTCAGGTTGAATGTTTAACAAAATATGATTCACGACCGTAACGAGTATGTGTTTACAGAATTATTATCATTAAAATCACCAATACAACCCTCCAAGTACATATAATCCCTCCGAATGAGTTTTTCTGGAAATAGCCATACAATGGGATTATACGAACTTAGAGGGTTGTATTGATGATTATAATGATAATAATTCTATAAACACATACTCGTTACGGTCGCGAATCATATTTTATTAAACATACAATCAGACATTGACCTACAAATTGCAAAAAACGTAAGAAAATTTGAATTTCGCGGGTTACCCTGGCGCTTTCACCTTAAGCACTCGCGTAGAAATATCATAAGCGACACGTGGTAGAGTAATGCTGCAGCTATGTTATGGTTGTAGCACGAATGGGTCGGCTCGACCGGGGAAGGACCACGCTCTCACAGAATACCAGCGTAAAATAGTAGCTTAATGCTGCTGTGTTTCGTAAGACCCTTTTTACTGGAAACGAGGCATTCCATCTTAGTCCTCACGGGTCAACGCGTCTGCATTTTAATTCACAATCGAAGATAAATGTAGATGTCTATGGGCCACAGCAACCTCTTACCATCAGGTGGACTGTGTGCTCGTTTGTCACCCTAATTCTATAAAAAGAAGCGAGCAGACCATGAATCCGATTATTATTAAAGTTTGGCTTTTGGTGACAAAAGCGGCGTTACAACTTTCCAACACATCATATCGGGCACAAAGTAAAGATATAAAATATACTTAAACTACATATTAGATTAAGTAATTGAGACAAGCAGGTTACGTTACATAAAAAATTAATACATATATATCAATTTGTCTTCTAATATTTCGTAACGACAATTACGAGGTGAAGGCCGGTTAGAAATAACGTAACTTAAGTAAATGAAATTTGAGAATGTTGAACTTAATTTATTACAGCTGTTACCTATATGAAGTTGAAGTTGACTCTTCTCACTGATTCTTTTTATTAGTTTACTATCTGTTCGTCGCGACTTCGCCCGCGTGTAATTTAGGGTTTTAATTATGTTGCGCGGAACCCTAATTATTTTTCTAGAATATAAGTAGCCTAAGACTTATAACATCAGCTATCTGCCAGTGAAAGTCCCGTCGAAATCGGTCCAACCGTTTCGGAGATTAGCCGTAGGAAACAGACATACAGAAATTTTAAAAATTGTGTTTTTGTTATAAGTACCGTATTTACTTTCATATGCATTTAATAAAAAGCTGGTATTTTGACATTACAAACAGACACTTCAATTTTATTTATTTGTATAGATGGGCATCAGGGTTGAACTTATAATAATGATAAAATATTTATTCATTGACCTAAAGTAACAAAATGAAAGTTAAACTAATACAAACATAATATTGTAGGAAGGACAATGAAAGTGTTCTGACTCAGCATGTGTTGCAGAGAATCTACAACGCTGTTATTCTGTTAGCAACCGTACTTATCTATCATACAAACAGTACATATGTATGTAGAACTTATCTATGTATAGATAAGTACGACCCTGGTGTAAATAAAATTGAAGTGTCTGTCTGTAATATTGAAATAAGTGAATTCTATTAAGTTCAGGGCGTTATTTCCATGTTATTAAGATATAAACCATTTTTTTTACTTTTATCTGTCTGACGGTCTATACGTCTAGACTAAGTTTTGGAATAGCTAAAACAATTGAGATGAAACTTTACGGACAGATAGAGAGTAATGCCAGGAGAGATCTAGGATATATTTTGTTTAAAAAAAGAAAAACCAAAAATTGATAAAATAAATAGCCATTGACCCTTAAATCTAAATACCGCTACATTGTTAGCTCCTTTCTAGGCGAAGCCGCATGCGACAACGTACTAAATGAGCTACATAGTTTTATGATTTTTTTTATAGAATAAGGGTGACAAACGAGCACACAGTCCACCTGATGGTAAGTGGTTGCTATGGCCCATAGACATCTATATCTATCTTCTTAGTGCCTCTTTTCCAATAAAATGGGTCTCTGGTTCTCTACACTCACCATACGAAACACAGCAGTATTAAGCTGCTATTTCACGCTGGTATTCTGTGAGAGCGTGGTCCTTCCCCGGTCGAGCCGACCCATTCGTGTTACAACTATAAAATTAACACAGCTGCAGCATTGCTCTAACACGTTTATTTAACGAAGGAAAAAACAAAAATTGATAAAATAAATGGCCATTGACTCTTAAATCTAAATATCGCTACATTATTAGATCCTTTCTAGGCGAAGCCGCATGCAACAACGTGGAAAATGAGCTACATAGTTTTATGATTAAATTGTTAGTAGCAACCCTGTTATATCGGTGTTTGATACGTGTTTAACCTCACAATCATTATTGTTTAGATTATCTCCTTGAGTAATAGCAATTGATAACAAGTTGAAACACCCACGTTACGTGTTTGACCCAAAAGAATTTGACCTAAAAACAATTTGACCTCTTAGGGGTCGTATTACCGCAATCATTAATCAATCTCTTGTCATATAATATCGTTTGACAGCGACTTGTTGCGTATGATAGTGGTAGGCCTACACGTTTATGGTACATACAGTAACAAGTGTTGATAATTCGTGTTTGACAGAGGTTCTCAAAGTTATACGAGTCACGACTGCCGCTCTTTACTTACTTGCTTTTGAGTGTTGGGGGTTTTCTTTTATAAGAATGGGCGTGGATGTGAGAAAACAAGCAGATGGCCCATCTGATGTTAAACGCCATCCTCTGCATATAACAATAGTAATATGACTTAGGTCTTTCCCTACTTGAGTCAGGGAAGACCCAATTCAAGTCGCATCAAGTCCTGTCACATTCTGATACGAGAAGGTAGAATGTATCATGTATCTGTAATTTCGCAGGTGATAGTTACTATCAATTATAAGGGTGAGAGTCGTGTGTTAACCTGCGTTCGCCCCGAAATAAGTGCACCAGATTATTGTTACATCTGAGTAATGCCGGACTGGCGGACTGCCGAACTGGCGCCACGCAGCTAGGGCGCGTTGAGACACGGCACTACGTATCGATTGCCAGAGCGAGCGGCTTATTTTATTAATATAGAATTAAATGTTGTAAATTTGAGTAATTAAATGTAT